AATTCCAAGACACTAAAAAAATCCCAGATGATATATTCCTCCTATCATTGAGTTAATGGAAGGGTACATCAGCATAAATTCGACACATTCAAAGGTTGCGTGAGTGTCAAACATATCAAGGTGGTGGTCATAATATGTGACTGAAGCCCTGCCCCTTTTTCACGTTTGACTTAGTAGCTGCCATCTTGACATCCCTTTAGAGTTCAAAAGTTTATTAGGCAAATAAGGCAATAGTGTTGGGTGCAGATAGGTGCAGACAACGTGGGAGCAAATTTGGTATAATGGTTAAGGCAGCAGGCTAGAAACTGGGAGACTGTGAGTTCTAATTTTGCCATGGGGATGAAACCAATTGGGTGACCTTGGGCTAGTCATGTTTTCTCAGTTTTAAGGAGATAATGGCAAACCACTTCTGAAAAACCTTGCCAGAAAACTGTGGGGATTTGTCCAAGCAGTCTCTGAGAATCAGACACAATTGGAAAAAAACAAAAACAAAAAATAACTATTCTGGACAGGGCTTCTGGTTTGCTGACACGGCTGCCATGAATGCTTGGAAGACAAGCTCCGATTTCCTCGTCCAGTTTCGCATCGCTGGGGGACCCTGAAAAGGCTCGAAAGTCACCCCGTAGAGGTGGCCAGCAAGGAGGGGCCTTTGCTGGATTGTGGGAGAGTGATAGCTCTCCCGCTAGAGCCGGCACAACCCTCCAAACTGGCAGACGAAAGACTGCCCATAGTAATATGGCTCGTCACTAGGCTGCAAACAACCGAAGTCTGGCAACTCACCATCTGGCAACTTTAAAGCAGCATGGAAGAGACTGGGTGAGACTTTTGTGAGGAATTGTGATAAAGGGAATTGGGAATATCTAAAATTGGGAAATGATAAATATTAAACGTTAAATTTTAAATATTAATGGAAAATTAAAATTGGGAAAAATTCATTAGGTCATTGATTGTCTCAAAGATTGAACGTTAAAATAATCAAGATATATATAAATTAAAAATGACTGATAAATGAAGAAAGTTATTTTTTATTTGATTGATAGAATAAGAAGTGTATTAATTCAAATATGAGACAGTACATATTAAGGGGGAAAGAGAGGAAATATTTATTGTAATAGTTTGAGATTTGTACTAATGACATTTGCATGTAATTGAATTATGGTAACTCAGCCGCCACGTTGCTTTGCAAAGATATAAATGTAATATTAGAAAATCAATAAAATTTTCAAAAAAAGAGAGAAAAAGCGAGAAATAATAAAGAAAAGTGATAAATAAAAATAATAAACATTGGTAGAATATTTGATGGCAAGATGAAATTAAAATTAAGAGATGGGCAACTAACCTACAGAGATCATGCCAAAAAAGTGTGATTATCATTCAAAAATATAAATTTGAAACCAGTATAAAGAGCATTCCCTAGAACAGTGTTTCTAATAGTCCTAGGATGCCTGTGGGTTTAATTGCTTTTAAAATAATTCCAAATAGCTGTAAGGTTTCCAAAAGATATATGGGGTCGATTTGCCTAATAATTTGTTATAATCTGTTTATATTTAAATATAAAGTACAGCAATGTGAATTCTATATTAGACATAAATAAAATTATAATTTCAGTGGGGAAAAAATAAAATAACTATTCTGGACAGATCTAGCCCTAAATTTGTCATGTTTATCTTTCCTAATAAAGTTCAGCAAATGTGGGCTGAGTAATTTTTAACAATTCTGCATATCTTCAGATTTCTCTCTACTAACCTCCAAAGCTGGTCCAAAGGGATACTGACATCACTGTATTAAAATGAAACAGCACCCGGACTGAGACCCCACCCCATCCTGGGTCACCACATGTCCTCATTAAGGACAATCAGGTTTTTTTTCACAAT